CCTCTAGTCTTACACTGCTAAATTAGGGACGGCTAGCGCAGATAGCCCTCGTGTAACTTTGCGCAAAATTCAAAAAACAAACAAAACTTCTATCAAATAATCCAAAGAAAACCGCCTAACACAGGAACCATTGCAACAATACACAGGACTTAATAACAGATATTATTTTATAGCTTCGTTTTGAGTTTAGTCACTGATTAAGTATATTTTATTACCAGTTACAGCTTTTAAAGTAAGTAAGCTTTGTATTTAAAACAGATACAACGTTTCAATCACTGGTGCGATCATTCTCGAGTACACATCGTTCTTTACCGTTGAAACTTGTTTACTTGAGAATGGTCGCACCAGTGATCGAAACGTTGTAAATATAAATCTTACTTTCTGTAAAAACTGTAACTTGTAATAAAATAGATTTATTTTAATTTTGTTGCCACTCGCACCAAACGATCGTTTAACCATCAGAAAGAACTATGTTTTTCTAAAACTCACAATTTTTTAAAAATCTGTACATAGTAATTTATTTTGCTCACAACGTTTCACCAGGTTTACCTGGCATCATCAGATGAGGTGCAAGAACTGAGGCTAACAGAAATTATTTTTAAAAAATCAATCATGTAAAAATCTGTAACAATACCAATCTACAAGCATGTGACTAAGCAATTGTAACCTAGTAAAGTGCTTGATAAATTACATTACTAAGCGTGGTGAAACTTTGTGAATAAAATAAACGAAAGTTTTACTATGTACAACCTATAAAAAAAAAAACTCGTGTGAATCGTTTAACCATTTCAATTGCCTCCTTTACCTACGAAAAACGTTACTTTCACAATATAATAAAGGCACATATGCTTGTTTTTATTACAACCATTCATAATATCATTAATAAAAATTAAAATGTATTTTAAACAGTATTAATGATTTTTACTACATATTGACCCTGGACCTGTAAAATCCAAACTTGTTACTGTATTATGTTATATATCATGTATCGTGCAGTTGTGACTGATTTTTAAAACATCTGGTGCCATTTATTTTGTGTTATTAAAAGAAAGGCGTTTACAGTTTTGGTGTTTGAAATACTGCACCAATATTCTTACCAAAGGTCGCAAGAAATACTATTATCAGTTTCCTAGTTTTATTATAAAAATAATTTATTCGACATCGTAGTTGGTGGTTTTCGTCATTACAAGTTATATTAAGTGTTAAAGCTTTATGTCAATTATTTTGTCATTTTTCACATACTAAAAGGGTTTAAAGTAAGTGTCAAGTTAATTATTTAAAATTAAAACTATTAAAAGAAGTCCTACCTTTATTTACCAATCAATAGAACTAGTGGACAGCGTACAAACAATATGTTGCTCGGTGTTATCAAAACATGCTTATTACTCAGACGGAAATTAACTATGTGCTACCACCTACTTCTACCTGAGATTGCGAAAGTAACATGCAGCAAACACGTGATATAACCCACCTCAATTGTAGGCTGACGTCAACGTTCTGTTTGCTACCACATGATATCCTGATTAATTCGACGTGACAAAACATGACGAAAAATTAAGATATATCGAAAACGTGAATCTGAAAATCTTCAGCACAATAGACGGACGTATGGAAGAAACTGTCTAGAATAATATTTAATGAATTAAAATTTATTTTCGCTTATTGTCAATTTTAAATGGACTTCTTTACTGAAAAGTAGCCCCACTCTGGATTAACAGTATAATACGAACCTTTTGTAAACATATATGTAGTTTTGGGAATAAACATTTTTTATTTGGGGAAATTATATCGTTGGTATAATTGATTTCATTATGTTATCGACTGTTTAACTACTGAAAATAAAGATCAAATATGCATTTAATAATCGGTCGTCATTTATACAAAATATTATTCTTGATTCAGGAAATTATACTACTAACTTAGTAGTCACTGTATTATTGACAGACGTAAGGCTGAGAATTGTTTTGGTGTTTGTTATAAAGGTATCTGCACTCTGTCCATCACGGGTATCGAAATCCGTTTCTAGCAAGTCCGCAGACATGCCGCTGTGCCACTGGGGGGCAAGGCTGAGAGACCGATCAGGCTTAAATTAATAGGCAGTTTACTAGCAGGAATTAAAAAATTAAATGTTGTGTGGAAAATTGTGGCTACAATCAAATATTACATATTGTATTTATATTATTTCTTGTATTCACTAAAATATATAAATTATACAGAAAATAAAATATTTATTATAAGTTAAAAATATATTTATACTTTTACAAGTAGAGAAATCTACCTTTATTGAATTGAAAATTATTTCTTACTTATGAATAAGTACGAAACATGTTGTTTGGTGGTGGTAAGCGTTAGGGTTTATAACGCTAGAATTTTGGGTTCGTTCTGCACCGCGATTACAGCCCCAATGACCAGCTTTATACAAAAATAATAAAGATGTGACTATTTTTCTAATTAATTTTAAAAGATAAGCCCCAGTGGCACAGAGGTATATCTACGGACTTACAACGCTAGAAACCGGGTTTCGATATACTTGGTGGGTAGAGCACAGATAGCTCATTGTGTAGCTTTGTACTTACTTAACTTCAAACAAATAAACAAATTTAAGAGATTAAACCTAGAAATAAAATAAAAACATTTTATAAATTATAAAACAATTCTCTTTATGTAGCTATCTTTTATCTGTTTACACTCAATGTGTTTGAAGATGTATTGAATGTACTATTTTATGATAAACATAATGACCGAAAAATAGTACGTATTTTAAAATATTCAGCTTAGAAAAGGTCGTAAGAGTTAACGCCTTTCGAAAAGTATCGTAACTTACATTATTTTACCTTTTTTTGTCGATTTTAACTAGCAGTTGTATTTCAAACAGCAAAGTTTTTGTTTTCTGCTAGTGTGAGATCAACCCACCTGTATATTTTCTGTGTATGGGCAGTGACGTCTTTGATAAAGGTCGAGGTTAGCCACACGGTCGTAGACCAGTTTTGCGCTACGCTTCCCTGAAGTAGGAATCAGAAATAAAATGGCCCAGCATGGCCAGGTGGTTAGGGCGCTTGACTCGCAATCTGAGGGTCGTGGGTTCGAACCCCGTCACACCAAACATGCTCGCCCTTTCAGCCGTTGGGGCATTATAATGTTACAGTCAATCCCACTATTCGTTGTTAAAAGAGTAGTCCAGGAGTTGGCGGTCGGTGGTGATGACTAGCTGCCTTCCCTCTAGTCTGACACTGCTAAATTAGGGACGGCTAGCGCAGATAGCCCTCGTGTAGCTTTGCGCGAAATTAAAAACAAACAAACAATCAGAAAAATATTGCTGTATAAACCTTAAGACTTAATAAAATTATTTGATATTTTGCGTATGAAAGCGTTGTAATGTTTACTGATAATATACCAAATTTCATTAACACACGTTTATT